CGTCTTACTGTATGCGCAAACTCTTTCCCATCCCACCTTGCACGGAGTGCGCGCACTCCATTCCAGATGCTCAACAGTGGCGACAATCTTCCCCACCTACGGCGTCTCGCATACATAATCGAGACAGGCCGACTAAACACCGCTCTCGTCATCCTCATTATCACTGAAATCATTTTACTATCTTTAATAAATAAAAATTTCCAAAGAGTTATTTCAGCACTCGGATGATATACGGTTATCCCAATCATTTTGTATAATGAATTGATCTACGTATACGTAAATCCACCATGTTTAATATTTATTTAAATTTAAATTTAAATTTATTTAGATTTTTAATTAATAATTTATATGTATATACATTTGACATAAAATGAAGAATTATGCTGACAATTGAAAATATGTACATCATGAGAATGTATATAATTTATCATTTTTTAAAATTATTTAAGATGCCTAATCTCTCAAGATTTAAATGGTCATTTTTCTTCGACACGAATATTTTAGAAATAAATTGCCAGAATGATGGTTATATGTACAGTATAGATGTACATTTATAATATCGATTATTACGATCGAGTATGTCTACATCATTATCATTCGTGAATGTAAACTTCTAAGAACTTCAGAGAAAAAAATATGTCTTCAAGGTTTAACTCGTAGATACACAATTGTACATCTATTACTCAGATAAGCAAGAATTTATTTGCTTGTAAACAACAGTCTTAAAATAGATACTAGACTTTTGTTATCAGGGAAAATCTTAGCAAACGGTTCGTAGTTATTAAGATTCCGTAAACTGAATGAAATCCAAATTACGTCGGAATCCCGATATCATCGTGTCGATATCATTAGCCAGGATGCAATGACAGAAGGTTACAGTATCGATTGAGGTAAATGGTACCGCATTTACCACGGTTACTCGAGCATCGTTGTGTCGTGTAAAATCACTAGCCCCGCTCGTAAATGTAGGGTAGAGTTGTTCGGTGACGGTGTTGACGGCGGAGGGGAACAAAGTACCGGGGTGGGGTGGCGTGACGACCGTGACGCCGCGCTGCACGAGCGTGCGGCGTGCACGCTTCTCCTTTCATTTGTCGGCATGCGTGACGTCACCGTAACGTACGTACGTGTAATGTGTCGTACACTACACAACAGTGTCATCTGATAGCGGCATGCAGTGCGTGCATGTAGTGTAATCGTACATTTTTTTCT